CAGTGACATTTCTGCAGCCCTAAAGTAACATGCATTTTAGTTTCGTGTACATTAAATACCGATATATGTGGATTATCGTCTGTTTGCTTTTGAAGATGACCAACTGCCAAACCAGTATAAAACCATTAGTAAAATCGCCTCACAAGATCAGCAACTGACATCTTTATCACATGCTACTGACTCGTTTAACGTGTGTCAGATGAGTGATTTCGTGAACTTAAAACATGGGAGCACCGACAAATTTAGGACCTATTTGCGGATTCAAAGAAATTCTTTAGAAACTAGTCACACACTCGAACAAACTCGTTGCAATTTATTGGGTAATATTTGACGGATTTCCATAAGAAAACATTATCCGATCAGAGAACTCGTGAGATTTTCATGGCACAAAAATCTATCACTACTGCGTTTTATAGTTGATCAAAAATATAAAAACACGAGTTCACAACAATATGAAATGACTAGGGTGTGATGTTTGTACTGACTAATAATTCCCTAGTACATCTTTCAGATCTTAGCTCAAGTTCCAAGTTCAACACGTTCGATTATATTCACGGTATTCACTTCGAATCGGATACTGATACGTTTCGGACTATTAGAGTGCGAGTTAGAGAGTACGAAGAACAACTTTTTAGATTAGTGGGTTCGACTACTTCTGATAATCTCATAAGACCAAATATTGAGTTGGTTACTTGAATGTTATGAGTCCAAGATAAACCAGATGAATATTGACAGCACAAACTATACGTTTTAAGCGACCGGGTGAGTTAAAGACAACTGAGAGAGAAAACTGAATGTGATTGGTAGTGCTTGTACTAATGAACGAAAATCAGTATGACATAGTTACATAATGAAATTAACATGTCATAGTAAATAAATTTATACAGTAAGTAACATATAATGTGCAAGAAGAATGAAACTATACAAGATTTGAATATACATATGAATTCCAAGTTAACCATCTCTACAGATTGCAATAATCTCCACAATCTGGTCTATGGAGGGCAATATTTATGACAAAAGACGTTTAGGAGACTGCTTGGAATAAATCAGTGGGTAAGGAACATGACAAGAGGAAATTTTATTTTCCATTGAATTTGTCACAACGAACATTTGTGATAAAGGTGTTTCGCACTTTGTTTGGTATTATTTTTCTTCATTACCTCCTGTTTCAAACGGTGGTTACGAGAATCGATAACGAATCAGTTCGATTCTAGGTGACTTAATTTCTCTGTTTTCTACTTATTTGAGATTAAGTATATTTTTTCGTGTAACAAAGAGATTTATATCGAAAACAAGTTATGATTTCGTGTCATTTCATAAGTTCCTCCCAGGAAATTCTTATACTTTACGACTGTGGTTGATCAAAACATTGTAAATTCAAAAAATATTTCGATATCAACTTCCGTTTTCATCTTTTAAAACTGTAACTTACACGGTGCTAGTAGTCTTGAAACAACAATTACCGTTAATTTAATAATGCACAATACAAATGGTACAATTGCAGAAATATCAAAATAACAACCTGATTTCATTCATATCAAATAACTTTACATGTAGCCATATTCATTTTTTACCTTAATAATTACTAAGTGTAAAAGGAAAATATCGGCCTTATGTTTATGCTCAATTAAATATTAATAATAATAATAATAATAAGCACAATATTCGAATAATCGGTCATTCATTCAATTTCATGTTCTTTGTATATCTTAAAAACAAACCTAAATGACACTACTTATACTGACCTGTGTATGTAAAAAAATTTAATTGATGAAAGAAAAATTCTGATTAATTGTCCATTCAAATAAAGAATTACAAGGACAATCTCCTAAATATAATAAAGAAACAAAAATCTCTTATAAAATAGCTTTGAATTAAAATATATTGAAGGTGAACAAATTAGAATATAAATAATTCTAAAAGAAATTCTTTTCAAATTAAATGGTGAAAAATTTAATTCAAATTGTTAAATAATAACAAAAGAATCATTTAATAGATGAATCCATGAGTGAATTAAAGCTAGACCATCATGAAAAACCTGGAAGCACTGGACGGCCGTTTTGTTCTAGTATGGAGGATCTCAGGAGTGCGCAACCACGATCCTGTACACAGGACTTGAACTATTACAAACGTCCTAGTATAGGACGAAACGATATTTTATAACATTATTTGTAAGGGTATACACATCGCATTTCATTTAAAAGTGTTCATACATTACATTTAATAATATTACGTAGTTGTTGACTCTATGACGTCCACTTATATATATATATATATATATATATATATATATATATATAGAGAGAGAGAGAGAGAGAGAGAGAGAGGGAGATTAGATGGTGGTTGGAGGTAGTCGGCAGGAAACACTGGACCCGGGTTTCGTGCTGCTTGGCACTCGTCAGCAAGGTGTACCTGTAATCTTGAGGGAACTGGTGATCCCCGGTGGATTCGATTCCGTGTCACCCAGTTTCACAGTCAGAGGCGTTACCACTGAGCTATATATAGACTGAAACAAACGATATACATTCTATTTTTTTCATGGCCACTAACACTACTTCTACACGTATTTTAAAAGTGTTATCCTAGTTCAAGCACTATTGATTTTGTGTTGACCAAACCATGAATCATTTTATTTGGTTAAGCTTCATGTTATTCAAACTGTTCTTTTACGTTTGTTGGTCTCAATAAAGAAAACTGGTATATATTACAGATGAAATCTTGTAAGACATCGTATTAATTCTTTAATTTGATACCTTAATTCATTCTCAACTGTGTATTTTAATATACATAAGACATATGACGTTTATGAGAACTATATGAATGAAAGTAAATGTTAGATATTGTGACTTACAAGACATATCTTATTGTTAGTTTCCATGATAGTGAACATTCTTCTAACAAATGCATTTAATTCGTTGTTAAGAATTTTCAAAAGTTATGTTACATAAACAACGTGAATATTCTAACACATCATCAAATCTACTATTTAATAGTATATATAAGGCTAATTGTCGCTTACCATACTTTAAAAAACCTTGTAACGTTTTTGTATCAACACTGGATTACTAATATTTGGTTATTTTCACAGATGAGCGCAATCAGTGTTATTATGATTATGACTTCTACTAAAAATCTCTTATTCTCTTTGTATTGCGGCATTTGGAAAATTACAGTTGTGAACGGAGGAAGTTGATAGGTCCGAAGAAAAATTGAGAAATTCATTCAAGTCTTAACTAAAAGAAAATTAATCCGATTATTAACCTAATTCTTTCATATATTAGACCTTAAACACACAATCATAAAGATATTCAAAGTACTCAAATAACTCTAAGGTTTATATCATTGTATTGTATCGTAAAGTAATCGTATACGTGATCACATTATTGCGATCAAAAAATAGTGGATAATTGTTTCACAACATTGCACTGAATTTTCCTATTGTCATTTAAAAATAAAACATTGAGATCGTTAGTTCGAATTACAGAAGAAAAATGGTTTGAAGTTGTAAAGTTTTAAATGTCTTTAACATATTTTCCCTTAAATAAAGTAAAACTCTGATATCTCCTAATATGCAGATAAATCTTTCGCCTTTTACTAAAACTTTTCATGGGGAGGCACAACACAACGAGTCATATTTTATTTTTTCCAATGGAGTACTTCACATTCTTTAAAAAATTGAAAACAAACTACTATCATCGAAAGAACCTCCTTGACAAAGTATTTCACTTAACATGTAATCAACAGAATATTATTTGATAAGAGTATAGTTTATGGACGACGTTTGAGCGACGATAAAGTGAACTTGAGAGTGTACATCTAATAACTAGGAAAAAATGAGGAATATAAATCAGTGTGAGGAATTGAAATTATGAATTACAGTTGATGGTCAGGGTTAAAAATTAGATTTAGGGTTTTCATCACGAACTGACATAGACTATAATGCCGAAACTCTATTTAACCAAATAGCTCTTTTGTAAAGCCAACATCTTATCATTTATAATCAAATATATCCATTTCCATCCCGTTTTAACTTTAATCTTAAACAATTAATGGGAACTATCACATCGCAATTCGGTAAACATTTGTGAAAGCTTTTACTTCACCATTTGTCTCACTAAACGACTGTGGTTTTACTATTGAAATAACTTTGTAGATATATTTAATACATCAGACTGATTTCAATCGAATTATGACTAATTGATGATAAGGGGATATAGAAAACACTACGGACAACTGTAAATTTAGTTATATATATTACAATAACTAGAAAATGTTATTGTTCTTCAATGATATATTTTGTTTACCGTTTGTTCATCTGTCGGTAGCTAAAACTTCATCCGAATGTAAACTTGCATGATACATCTTGGTGGGTCGTCCAAAATAACCGATTAAAATCCTTTAACCTAATTACTATAGTGGTTGACTCAGTTGTAGCCCGATGACCACGTCTCTGACTGTGAAATAGAATGTTCATATCCAGTTATCTAAAACCGTACAAATTATATCACAATATCAAGTTACTCATGTTTGTGGTGGATGAACTTCAACTGAGTACTAATGATTAGACAGCATGGCATTGACTACTACTGTCTGACATATAACTAAATTTTGTTCGTGTATATCAAATCTTTATTAGCTTTTTCGGTGAGACTAATTTATGGACGACCTCTGAGCGACGCTATACTGAATTTGAGAGTATCCACCTAATAACCAGTACCAAATGAGGGTTACAAACTTGTGCTAGGAATTAGAATTGTGATATACAGTTGATGATTAGGGTTAGGAATCCAATTTAAGGTTTTCATCACAAACTGACATCAACTATAATATCAAAACTCTATTTAAACAAATGGATGAGTGAATTTCGTGTCATAATCTGATACCTTTTATCTTATATCTGATTAGTTCATCCATAAATTATAGTCTCGCCTATTCAAAGATTATTATGAGAAAATTATTCTTCATATCATAAATTACAACAACAAAAAACATAAAGATCACTTGCAAGAATAATTTTATTTAATTATTTTTTTTTAATGTTTAACTTATAGAAATTAACATTTATGAAATAGATTTTAATTAATTAAACTTCCATTAATCCACCACGAAATTCTTTGATAGGAAACCAACGTTTTTCATTCATTATTTTCCACCATTTAGGAATATGTGATCTTTGATAACTAAAATATATAATCAAATAAATTAATAATTGATAAGGAATTAGAGCATATTCATAATATGTTGATGGAATTGGGATATCCACAGGGTTTCCTGAAGAAACTCTTGAGTGTAACAAGTAAGAAAATAGTGACACTGACAGCTAATAAGAAACCTCTCTTCTTGAATCTGCAATTCAATGATGATGTATCTAGTGATGTATTGCGTGATAGACTGACTAGAGCAGTAAAGAGAACGTTTAATGATGCCAACCTCTGTCTATCGTATTCGAGCCGATCTATGGTGATTCCCCAACTGAAGGATAAGTTACCTGGTTATGTCACTTCTATGTGTATCTATGAATTCAGCTGCTCCTGTGGAGAAAGCTATATTGGGGGCACTACCATGCAACTGAACCAAAGAGTTAGTGAACACCTCCCTTCGTGGTTTGGAAAAGGTAATGTCAAGACAATATGCAGCTCGGTTCTATCACACTTGATTGATAGGGGTCATGTATTAGACAAAATTAAGTCATTTTAAGTTATTTATCGTATTCCCACTAGTTTCCCTTATGGTGTTCGATCTCGTCTTCTACACATAGCAGAAGCCATAGGAATTCGAGCCAACAAGCCAAGTCTTTGTGTTCAGAAGGAATTTGTAACACCCTTATCTCTCCCTTGGCCATAATAAATGAATTTATTTATTCTTTTTCAAACTTTCTCTTCGTTTATTATTTTTCTACACCACCTCCTATCACTTTATTTTCTCTCAACTATACGTTTCATGGTCCAATTATCTGAACATTTCTTATTACGTCATCTTATAATTTTTATAAATGTTATCTCACCGTCTATATTATTCTAATCATTGACCTATTTCCGACTATTTAACATGAATTTGAGCCTTTATTATTCTTATCAAACCTAGTACACCTGTCATCACACGATCAATTTGTACTTTTCACATATTATGTAATTGTTTCCATTGTCTCATAAACTACCTTGATTGGTTTAATAATTTCATATATGCATATAAATATTACTGTATATATTAGAGTAAAGCCTGATGAAGATTTAATCGAAAACAACATTGTTCGCTTATATATGTTGTCCTAAATAATTTATTTGTATATTTACTTAAAATACATTGGTCAAAGTGAAAATGTAACTGATACTATGGAAATAGATTCATGTGACTCTTTAAATCAACTTTAAAATGTTTTAACTGTTTTCTTACATCATTTGAAAAAAATGAGTTTTATGATCAAATAGATTGTTGATTGGATAATAAATAAAATTACGAATTTTTTTTATATTTTTGATGGTGTTTTATTCTCTGAGCTGGAGAGTTTAGTCGTGAAGCATTTATCATTCTTCTAAATGACATCATCAATACAAACGTCAAGTAAAAATGAAGTGTTCAAATTTCTCCATATGTGGTTTACAACTTGTTCTGTAGACTTCAATGTTGATTGGTTCTTGTTCATACATTTTTATAATGATAAAAATGTCTTCGGAATTCGTTCTTGGTTTTTTTTAAAATTTGGACTGGAATTGATGTTTATGGCCTACAAGTAACCTATATATGATTGTGAAAATATGTTACAACCGTTTTGTTGTTGTGTAAATACAATAATGTTTTACATTAGAACTTCCTCAGAATGATATTTTTGAACAGTTTTATAGTGTTTTTCGAAATTATACTCTGATAAAATGAACGAACTGTTTCTACTTTATTACTTTAGTTTATTTCTCCAAACACTCGATCGTTTTTAAGGTATTTGATTATAATAACTACTGTAAATAGATTATGTTTGGTATATATTTATCAAGCATTGAGACTTTGATATGATTTTGGGAGATTGTAGTGTTTCCAGTGTTGGATTCATGAGTCATTCTAAGCTAGACTACCACTGAAAACCTGGAAGCGCTAGATGGTCCACTGCTGATGAGTCCCACTCTAAAACGAAGTGGCCGTCAAGTGTCTTCAGGTTTTCAACGATGGTCTATCTTAGGTTGACTCATGAACTTAACTCTGATATAATCCTTTAGAAATCAAAGTTTTAGCGAAGGTTTCTAGAATATTAAACCCATTCTTCCAAATGTTTTTAAGAGGAATTCTAAGTCTGGGTATTCTTTATGGATTACAAATGAAAATCACAATAGACCTCCTCAGTCTGTTGTAAAACTTTCCTGATAGGTACTGTGTTGGCGATAACGGATAGATATTTTCTGAGTATGTAAGCAATCAAATGCTTTCAAATCTAAAATCGATAAACATCATTTTTTCCAAACTGAGGATGTATTCTTGGAAGAAATTATACTCTGCACTATTACTAATGAGGCTTATAGGACGTCAGTCTTCATTACAATAGTTAGGTTATTCTCTAACTAGTCTAGTGAAAATGTTCTATTATGACTTGAAAGCAAACATTATGTGGTGTTTAGCTTCTGTATACTATCAGCTCTTAAATCTATGTTCATTTTCCGTCAGTGGACGCATCAATGTATTCATCATTTCTTTGAACGAGTGACAGAACATGTAAAAACATTTCGATATACTGTGCATACATCACAATTTGAATATTATTGAAGAACAGGTAACATCCTTGGAAATGTTTGGACATTAAACTCATGATGATAGCTACTGAATCTTTTATCAGAACGCCATACGTTAATAAAGCCCGTTTGTAAATCACCAATATCAAGCAGCTGTTTTCAAAGCTTGTCATACAAAAACACTATTTTTTATGTACAACTTAATAATATTACATGATAACTACAGAATAATAAGAAAGAAGACTAGTTAGTTATACAAGGCTTTTGTATATCGTAATGAAACTTTAAATCACATTAATCTATCAGTATGAATGATATTTCTTTACGTAAACGATTAGTAAAGTTATCAGAAATATTTGACTACACAAATTTTAAAAGTATTCCAATACTGTTTTAATAATTTAGTGTAACTTAGTGATCAAGAACAGGTCTATAAATTCCTTCTTTATTCATTGTTTTATTATAAGTTCTAGTGAGACTAACTCTCTGTCCAAATTGACGTAGGAAGGAATACATTCGAATCCTCAAGTTATTGAATGAAAGATGGGGGGCTGATAATTAGTTTTCAAAAAGTAGATCACAGAATAAGGTGCGTTAACAGAATTGTTTACAAAGTCATTATTCCAGTTCTATAATCTGTATAGTACCTGTGAAATGGTTTTGAAGCATGAATCATGAAAATATTGAAATCATCATTGTATAGTTAAGAAACACTTAAACGATAAACAATAATACGAATAAACTCACTAATATGGACTATTATCAATAAATGAATTTGAATCTAATACTGCTTCAGGTACTTCACTTTTCAAATAACCATGTGGATTTGCATTTGAACTGATTGCAAACATATATATGATAACTATATAACATAACAATCAAAATTATTTCATATATTAGTACATACTATTTTAATTCTTATTAAGTATTATATTCCAAGTAATCAATGAAATAATCATTAAAAATCAGAACAAACATAAATGTTATGTACAGTTTTCTTTTTAGCAAATTTTAATATCTGAAATGAATCCATTTCTGTTTCTAATTTATTGTTCTTTGGTTTCAAGTTCACTGTATGTTAATGATTTTAATGCTGGCTATAAGCTAATCATTGAATTAAACATATCCACTGAAAAAAAGAACTCATTTACTATCGTTAGTATACCATAACAAGTTCATAGATCATAGTAAGTTAGTGAACTTGTTAAATGGATGACTGGATACTCTCTCTATATATTATATCACTTATGTTTTTGCTAATTAGTTGTAGCTGGATATAGAAAGACGAATTCAATGAACTGAAACATGCATTTCCGTGATAATGTTCACATTGAGTTTAAAGGCATCCGTTTTATAATCTTGTAAATAGGAGGAAACTGATTTCTTACAGTATACAAGTCAAGAAAACACGCTTCGAAATCTAACCATAAATTACATATCGCATCTTATGGATAATTTAATAGTTGAATTCATGAGTCAGTTGAAGCTAGATCAGTGGAGTTCTGTCGGATCTGTTGTGAGATAGTAACTCTCTGAAGACAATGGTGGATGGTGTCACAATTTTGTCGATTGATTAAAGTTAGACATTGGCACCGTTGGATGATGGTTCAGTGGTCTAGAGATTAAGCATTCGCGCGCGAGACCGATAGGTCCTGGGTTCGAGTCCCACGAGCGAGATCGTGGATACGCACTGCTGAAGAGTACCGTAGTAGGACGAGACGGCCATCCTGTACTTCCATATTTTCCATAATGTTCTAGCTTTAAATGACGCATGGATTTAACTATCACATTACTGAAATCTTCACAAAACCCCCTTCTGATTATGAATAATTATTTTCACTGTATTTTTTCCAAAAATCACCACCGACTGATGGACCTGAATTATAATAAAACATTTTCTTTGGATCCTACTACTTGTCATCATTATCAAAATATATGATGAACTGTTTGATTATTTTACGTGAAATTTTTTTAATATTTCCGATATTTTATTAGATTTGTCTTATTCAACAAATTACTCAATTGAAAAACAAAATTTATTTTATGAGTCTACTCAAAATGATTCGACAACATACGAATAATAATTTTATCCTTCTTGGTTTATTCAACAAACTATACTAAACTGTAATCATCAAATGTTCGTTTATATTACGTTAAGAAGATTTGATTTTTAGTATCTTTTAAATTGAAGAACCAATATGACACTTCTGGCGAGACTCTAATTTATGGACAACCTTTGAACGAATCTTAAGTAACCTTGAGAAATATTAGCCAATCAGCAAACAGTCAGTATAGAGTAAAAATATGTTATACGAAACCAAGGAAATAAAGTGGATACATTTCTTATACGTGGTTCAAAAAGTTGTCAAGGTTAGAAAAAGGTTCAGAGGTTCTAAAATCGTAATGCATGCAGCAGAGGAAATCATCCATACAGCTACAGAATATTCGGTCTCTGGATTCATGATAAAGTCTCAAATACTCTTTCAGCATCGACCACATAGCTTCAATATTGTTTATGTGCACTCCGGTTGTTGAGTGCACAAAATACTACTTGTTCATAACGACAAGATGCACAAAACCAAGCCTATGTGGGAGTCTTTACTCTCTCCAAACATCCATATATATTGTAGTACCTGACTGCAGCCAGTGTTACTTGTGCTTTTATTATCCAGTTCGCGATAATTGTTGTAGTTTGCCTTAGTTAGGAATTATATATGAGGTTTCCATCACGAACTGACATCAGCTATAATGCCAGAAATCTATTTAGCCAAATGGATGAAAGGTTTACGTGCCCAAGTCCGAGATCTATTATCTTATACCTGATCGATTCGTCCACAAATTATGGTCCCGCCGTTTTATTTGTTATAGTCACTCAAATATCACGTTTTGTACAAAATTCCCTGTGAACCGATCGTACGTTAGCATGAAGACTGAAGTTGGCGCCGTAACCTTGAAATCTCTAAAACACCTCTGATTGGCTCGTCCATAAATTAGAGTCTCGCCGACACTACATTATCAAAGAAATACCAATATTCACTTTAAACTAAACCCAAATTTCAATTTTATATTGAAAATAAAAAGTCTTAGGTAAATACTAAATAAATATTCAAGGAATTAAAGTTGTTTGAATATTCTAAAACTGTTATTGAGAAAACATTTGTAAATAATTAAAAAATAAAAGTTTAGGCTCAATAGCATGGAAACGCAGGTTTACGTTCATTGAATTAGATGTCATGAATAACTAATGATTAGAATATATCAAAACAGATATGATTAGTTTCTATAATTTTTGTTTTAATACTTTACCTTAAACAGATCTTAGTTTAAAGAAATTTCTGTAAACTAATAAACACTTGAAAACTATTTCGTCCTAGTATGAAACATTTCAGCAGTATGAAGCATAACCCTACCTAAGATAACACTACAGATCTCTAGGTTTCTTTTCAAAGCTTAAACTTCAAACCATTAAGTGTATACCATTTACTTCTAATGTTATGCGCCTTCATTCACACACCACTTTTGGATGTTGATTGAAATAGTCATTTTAACAACATTAAAAATTTCAGTAATAAATTTCACAATGAAACGTATAATGAAATAAAATATTATGTGTATAAATTATCTTACTACTCGTTTTACATATATGTAAGAGTTTCTGAGTTGAAAAATTATAGTTGATAGTCATTTTGTGGTGTGTGCTACTTATATTGACATAAGTAGTAGATGATGTTAGTCGTGAACAGAATATCTGGCAGCAGAGAGACAAGAAGATCGAACAGTGAAGAATGGAAACAGAATGTAATTTGTATGAAAATGCAAGAAAAATGAATTCTGAGTTATTATGAGAAATTGGTGGACATTTTGCAAATTACGTATTTACTATCTGATTGTTAGATTTTATTAACAAGTCCTGTAATTTTGTGTCAAATACATTCGATTGTCCCGGCTGGTGTTCTTGTTCACTACGATTTGATAAATAGTAATTTAATTACTTTAAACATAGATTGTATTGTAATCACTGATTAGACAGACGCTTGTAAATTACAACTCAATTACTTGCGATAATCATGTTCGTTTTGTTAAAAATTATTGTTTTAATTCATAGACCGATAGGTTAAAATGATATTTGAGAAATATAGGTTAAACCTTGTTTATTTGTTCCCTAATATAGTTCAATCTATCTGAACGTATTTAGAAGTGATTAAATTGATAATGTTTAATGAACTATATGATGGAATGTTTCATAACAATCATAACCATGAATATGTTTATATCATCTTATTAAGTAGTTTTAAAATTTAATGGGAAGTAGCATATCTCTATTTGTTCTAGTCTTTTTTATATTTTAATCGATATTTTCCCGGTAATAATTCCTCATCCTAAAAACACTTTTAAACAAATTAATCTGATAACGGTGTTATTTATTTGATTTTTAAAAAAGTGCTATTTTTTCATAAATAGTTTTGTCTCATGTTTTCAACTCACCAAATACCAATCACAGCAAATTAGAATTTGTGATTTTGTAATCTTTCAAGATATGAGAAAATACTTTTAAATGACCATATAACTGTGCTAATAATATCGACATAAGTAGTATATAATCAAAAGAATGTCTGGCAACAGAAGCTCAAGAAGATCGAAGAGGATGGAACGGGAACAAAAGGTAATTAGTATAGAAATGCAACAACACTGAAGTCTGAGACTTTTGACTGATACTTGGAAAGGAAACGGTTATGTTTCAGACAATTGATTGACGTTTTGCAAATGAAGTATTCACTGGATAGTTCTTAGATTTTACTGAGGCATTCTGTAATTTTGTATTGAAATATATTCGATTGTTCCTACTTGTGTTCTCATTCACTACAATATATTAACTGAGTAATTTTTTCATCTTTGAAATGTGTAAGTTTTCTTGAAATGTAACTGTTATATAACCATTCAAACATTCAGATATTGTATAAATAAGAATACATTATCAAAGAGTATTCGTAGATTAGTGAAATGAAGTCGATAACTAAGTTTATTCTGTAATTTGAAGTGTTCGTTTAATGTTAAGATTAAAAACACTTAGATCAATAAAAAACACTCATTTCGTAGTCGAAGTCTGGAATGATCAAGCAATAAAGCATATTTAGAAAATTTATCTATTTGATTACTGTATGGAAAATATTCTTCCATCATATGCGGATAAGAAATCTCATACAAGTGCTTACAAATTGGATGTCAGCTAATGAAGAATAGTAGAACTGAAACAGAAAAACATTGTTTTGGCACAGCTATAAATAATCGATATTGTAGAATTGCTATTTTGATGATAGTTTTTACGTAAAACTATTCATGAATATAATCTTATCAAAACCTCTCGTAGACCATCATCTTATTGTTCCTCTCAAGGAATTTTTAAAAAGTAACTGTTTCTGGAGAATGTTACAAAAAGTTATTTACACTCGACAAGTTTACTTTTTTTACCTATTTTTATAGTTGAATGTAATGACCTGTTTAATAATATTCCTAATCTGCCTTCTTTCATATTTATATAGTCAGTAAAGTAATCTATTTAAAGAATAATATTTCATCCAACTATTTCAACCGATCCGACCTCTATTCTGTTCGATTTTTTTTCCCTTTTTTAGTTGAAAATCTATCCAACGCTAATTTATTTATACAGTTTAAATGAGTTTTCGAAATCACATTTCATAGTATTAATTTAATTGACCTGGAAAATATTCATTATTCATTGTTATTATAATAGTTTTATTATTATTAAGTCTAAAGAAAGCTTGATTTCATTTTTTTTCTCAGTTGTTTAGTAAATAGGTTAACAGTTGAAGTTGAATTCATATGCTTTATCATTGATCAAAATATATCCGCAATAAAAATGTAATAAACGAGAACACAAGTAAGGACAATCGAATGTATTTCAATACAGAATATCTTAGTAAAATCTGAGATTCATACAGTAAATACTTCATTTGCAAAATGTCAATCAATTAGTTAAAACCTTCATTGTTCCTTTATCAAATGTTAATCAATCGTCTCAAACTTCATTGTACTTTCGTTTTCACACAAATCATTTCCTGTTTTTATTCTCTTTTCTTTGAACGTCTTAACCTTCCGCCTACAGATATTTCACTTCTGATTGATGATACATACTATTTATATCTGTCGACATCAGTAGCACACACCACAAAATATCAATAATCATACTATTATTTACGAAAGAAATTACTCCTCACATTATTCTAAACGTAGATAATTCCGAAAATTTGATTTCAAATTTAATTTTAAGTACATTTTTATTCTTTGTGTAAAGAAAATATAAAGCGTTTAACACTAAGTAAGTACATAGAACTTAACTGAAAAACACAAACCATTCATGATCAATGCTATAAACTTCGTAAAAATATATTATGAAGTTTCTCTTTGAATGATAAGATCTACTAATTTAATGTCAGTAACTTGATCATAGATCTTGATTTGCAGTCGAAAATATACGGTATTAACGTATATGATAGTTTACCCATTGTAGAAAAACAAATTCTGAATAACATCAGACGTTTAATTTTATTCTTGTTTAAAAATTATTCAAATATTCAGGTGATGTGAACTGATTGCCCTTAGTTACAATTCACTGTTCAATAACAAGCTTCATTGATACTCATTAAAAATGTAATCGAGTTAAACTGATTTTAAACCATTATTTTTTGGTTCGAGTCATGTTTTATAACCTGAAATGTACATCATATATCTTACAATAAAGATTATGATTGTATCGATTACATCATAACTATCTGTAATAGTGAAAACCAGATAGTAACTTATAAAAAACCTATAAAGAGCGCTTTCTAGTTTACGTGAATATTCGTGTATATATGAATGAAAATTTCAACAGCAACTATACGCTGAGTAATAGAAAAAAATCTTGTGAAACAAATGATATTTACGTATTTTCAGGAACTAGAGTTGCAATAATTCCAACCGTTCATCCCAAAACCTTGTCTGGAACTCTTTGAAGTAATAATCGGAATGAAAACTATCAAATATATATATGTATAGTTTAAAAAATAAATCTACGCTGGAATCCCACCCAACCATCTTCAGTTGCTAATTCTAGTCTAATGTATATTCATTGATACTTTTGACTATTATACTGAAGAAGTTCAGTGAAATGTTATAATTATCTAAACTCTAAAAGCTGAGCTTATTTCTTATATAATTTTTACAATCGATACGTAATCTTAAATCTTACCTAACCTTCTGGATCTCTTATAAGTATATTCAACTGTGCTTAAATCAAAGTAAATTAAATAAAAAGTTATTTCTTAAAATGATTATTTTAGTCCTCTCTCAATTTCAGTGTACGTTCATACAAGAGCTTTTTAGTTATATTAAAGTCTTTTATACAGAAATCAACCATTCATCGTTTAAATTACATATTCAATTTTAAAAAGTATACATATTAGCTAATCTACAATCTTTTCATAAACCCTTTAAAAAAATTCCAACCAGTTCACGCTTATGAGTAAGACTGTATTGGAATTATTATCATGGACTTTTACAAAACAAACAATTCAATGAAAACAGTCTAACTTTGTTGACTAGTGAGGCAATGTGATAAGATACTTAGATTGTTTCTTCATTTAAGTTGTATAGATTAAAATCAAATCATTTGAAAAGATTTCTGAAACTAACTCTGCATATTCATTTAACTAATATGAACGTCCAAGACATGGTTAGACAGAGGGTGCTGGTGGGCGGCCTATGCTCGTCCACGAAGAGTAACAGGCGTAAGAAAGTAAGTAAGTAATATATACCATTATTTAAAAATATTCTTTAACAATTAACAATAATAGAAATGAATTATTTTGACTGGTAATGAACTTTCAAGGTATATTTACATTGATTCTTTTAAAAAGAAAAACATCTATTTGAAATTATATTAAAAAACCATCTCTTTGAATAAACTATGATGACTTCCAATTATTAATCTAAACCAGACATCAAAATAAACGCTCATCATATATATAAACTTACAGTTTAACTCAGTAGGTAACACTCCTATAATTTAAATTTACTATTTATTCTTTCCATTAATATTATTTTGTAGAAGCATTATTATCACCATCTACTGCTCAGAATAAGTATTTTCTTGCATAATTATAAAATTCAGCAAGAAACTATTACAAATGCATATTCTTCTAAACTGCGTAGACCTGAATTCATAACTTTTTGTGTTTTTTTTTCAGAAACTATAATTCTATGTGTTTACAATACTTTTCGTCAAGATTACTTCATTTCACTAATTGATTTTTAGAAGAAAGGAAAACTCTAGTTGATTACGTTAAACGTTAAACTTTCAAACGCAATATTATTTCACTGCAATTGATGCACCTTTGAATAATTACCAAATTTGTACTTGTTTAAACCATCTATTACTAACTTAATCCTATCAGTTAAATTTTAGTGTGCCCATTTGGGAAGAAAGATTCTCTATAACTTAACATTAACATGACTTAACAGTCTTTACTACAGTGTAATAATAATATTATTATCATCATCATCATCAATATTCGGTTACGGAACTTTATAATAAGGATTGAAAACTTACCAGTTAATAGCCGGATCATTTTGAGGAAAAAATTGTTTTGTTACTTAAATAAGTATGAGAAAATAAATATAAATCTATATATATATGTATATTACTCCATACACTATATGGAGAAAATTAAATCTCTATTTATATGTTAAATATGCCGTATATTTGCAAATGAATTTCATTGGCCAGTTATTTTAATTATTCATTACTACTCAAACCAATCACTTGATTTACAGTAAATAAAGCACATTTTGCAACAACAACAATTCCGACCGAATTAAATACAAGTAAACAAACATGGTGGTCTAGCTTCAATTGACTCATGATCTCAACTGTTGAAACAAACAAATATTTTAAAAAAATACTAAGTAGTCTAAAGTATGGTAAATACAAAGTTTATCTGAAACAAATAGCATCACATAAATAGAAACAATTAAGAAAGTAGGCATATTATTTTTGATTAACATGTGGTTTGCACATTAAGGTCAGTGACATTTTCACAAATAGCTTTTACATTGTTACTGAAGTAGTAAATAATCAGTTTTCTAATCTCTATGATAAGCCGGTAAAATAGAATTAACAATTCAGTAGTCTATTAGTTGAATTCATAAGTCGATTAATGCTAGATCATCATGGAAAACCTGAAAGCACTGAACGTCCGTTTCGTCCTAGTATGGGACTCCTCAGCAGTGTGCATTCACGATCCCCATTCTGATAAAAATTCAATAGTTGTTAATTGCTTAAGTCAATCACATCGGTGTACTGAGATTAATTTAATTTATTCAGGGTAGATATGATTCGTACATTTCACATCATCTGACAAATTTTCCAAATGAAGTTAATAATGTTATAAATGTCCAAGAACAATGAATCTACACAATTTTAGTTATTACATTTTGTTATAAGAAACAGTTGTTAATAATTTATGATACTGATCTTAGTAAATTAGTAAATAATATTAAACAGTGGCTCACTGAGTGCGATCATGGTCTGGCAGACCCTGTTTAACTTCCTTCACCACTCGACATTTCTTCATATATTCGCGTAAGAATAAGATCATTTTAAGTATGAATTACAAAGCACAAAAACTCAGATATCAGTTACAAAAAGCATAAAACAAGGAATAGATTTTAGATACCATCCGTGATTGCTTGGTAGAGACCAGAATACCGGATTTCTAATAGTGACTTGGCAAATAATCATCTGTCACGGCTTAATACATGATTTTATAATAAATTATCAGCCATTTTACCTAGTCTTTCATGCACTCTAGCTAGTCAAATAATAAAACCTATATATATATATATATATATAATATATATATTATATATATATATATATCCACCAAATAAACTATTCGCGTGATCCATTGAAGAATTTCATGAATACATATTCTTACATTGATTTTCTCTAGAAAAGGTGTTAAACTCGAACACGTCTATAGGGTTCGGGACATCTAATTATCATTTGAATTCCACGTTTAATAACAAGAGTTGTAACTTATGTCTTTTACAGACAACTTGTGGTTGTCGAGAATGATAGGAGATTAATCTGAGTGAATAGTTATCGATGTTTTCAAATTTCAGATTAGCAATAATGTGTAAAAATAATTAAATAATTATTCAAGTTATTTTCAACTTCTACAATCTAACATTCTGATAATGGTATACCGGAAGTTATATTCTACTGCTTTATAAGTTAAAGTTCTAAAATTCTCAAAAGGATTTGAAGGCTACAAAAAATTATTTGGCTGTTTTCTGATACTGAATATCTTAGAGGAGAATGAGTTATGACAGCCTCCAGAGAATTACGCAAAAGTATTTTTCATTATTCCTGTATGAACAAAAAAATACTAGAACCTGGGTTGTAAAACATTGTCTATTTATTAAAAAGGTGTAACTAGGATATGTCAGTTAGTTATGTATCAAGCTTTTGAATATTATTTTCGATGACCATGGATAAAAATGTGAATCTGAAGAAAATGAATTTGCTTATAATATGAAATGACATTTCTATATGTTTGCCTTATACTTACTTACTTACTTACGCCTGTTACTCCCAATGGAGCATGGGCCGTCGACCAGCATTCTCCAACCCACTCTGTCCTGGGCCTTCCTTTCTATTTCCATCCAATTCTTGTTCATTTTACTCATGTCTATCTCCATTTCCCGGCGTAATGTGTTCTTTGGTCTTCCTCTGTTACTTTGGCCTTGAGGACTCCATGTGAAAGCTTGCCTTGTGACGCAGTTGGGCGCATTCCTCAATGTGTGTCCTATTCACTTCTAGCGTTTCTTCCTGATTTCTCCCCCGCTGAGATCTGGTTTGTTCTCTCCCACAGTAGGTTGTTGCTAATAACATCTGGCCAACGGATCCGAAGTATTTCGCGTAGACAACTGTTAATAAACACCTGTATTTTCTGGATGATGGCTTTCGTAGTTCTCCAGGTTTCCGCCCCATACAGTAGAACTGTCTTGGTTCAGATTTGCCTTATACTTCAAACAGTTTTGTCGATTTATGCAAATTAAACTATGAAGCAGCTTGCAATTAAGTTATAAAAATTGAAAACGTTTTATAGCATATCAATTTATGATACAATTCACTGAAGGTCGGACTAAGATTTATAGCTCATAATGCCCTTATGTTGCCAAGAAAAGTAGAATCTAGATTGAGATAGTCTTGAAAATGACGTTAGCACTCATTGAATTCCTTCGCTAAGAAATAAAAATAAAATAACTTTACGAAAATTAATGACAGTATCTTTAATAATTGAATTTATGAGCCAATTGAAATTAGACCATCATAGAAAACCTGAAAGCACTAGACGGCCGTTTCTTCCTATTACGAGACTCCCCAGCACAGCGCTCATCCACGATCACGCCGCGGGCTTCGGACCCTAGCCCTATCGGTTTCGCGCTAGCGCTTATCCTCTAAACCATGGGGCCGTCATCCAACAATGATAATGTTTAACTTCAACTAATCCACGAAACTGAGCCACCGTCTTAGAATCCCGAGGGGCGGGATCGTGGATGCGCACTGCTGAGGAGTCACACAATAGGAAGAAACGGCAGTCTAGTGCTTTCAGGTTTTCCATGATGATCTAGCTTCATGAACTCAACTATTAAATTACTGTAATATTCACAAAAATCCCTTCTTATAATACTCAGTAATTATTCTATAGATGCTTGACTTTTATGTATGTTTTGTGAACGGTTCAATATACATATATGTATATTCCTTTCATCAATGTAATTATATTTAAATTAGATTTTTTTAATGAGATTGCTACAAAACAACTACACCCTATACACAAATTACAGAAAATGTTCATTTGCCAACATAAACATTTAGATTTTTATACAAAATAATGCAGAAAAAAGATTAAAATACATTTTGACCTGATTTATCATTATTTTCCATGATATTATTCTTAACAAACTGAATGACATACATTAGAACATCATAATGAGCTGGTGTAAATGTGTATCTTAGTAAATGATCCATTGAATTCTAGATAGTTTCACCAACAACAACAAAGATAATTTTGTGTATAAGAAATATATTTTTTTCTATTCACTATATGTTACTACTTCACGAGTACTGTGAAAAGACTATACATAAAAAACTTGGATAAATAATCATTCATAAATAGTAACATACAGTAATGTTATTTACTATTTGCCATGTTAATTTGTTAATACTCATGGAATCATTATGAAAATTAGAGCTCAGGATTTCATCTTTCTTGTTTAATCTATTTTGAATAAGACTGAAAATCTTGATTAACCTTTTTCATGGTTAGTTTTATGATTATAGATTCTCTTAAAAACTAAATAACTCCGCCTGTAGCTCTAACAGGGTTACTGCCGGTCCCAAGCCCGGGTAAAGGAGGAGGGTTGGGCATGGGGTTAGCGTCCCCATCCCGTAGAAAACTAACTCGCTAAAAAAACGCTTACCAGAAAAAATTATTCAAACCATTTAAACTCTGCCCTGGGAGTTAGAAGGTCTTCAGTTAGAAGAATTATGACGCTTCATGGTGAAAGCCGAGTTCCTTCGGAAGCCACGAGGCCGATGCCCCTTCTAACAACCAGAGCAAAAATTTTTATAGGTACATGGAACGTTCGAACAATGTGGGAAACCGGGAAGACCAGTCAAATAGCAATGGAAATGAGGAGATACAACTTAGCAGTACTGGGAATCAGCGAAACCCACTGGACCCAAGCTGGACAGAAAAGGCTAGCTACGGGAGAGATGCTGCTATACTCCGGTCACGAGAGGACAATGCTCCACACACTCAGGGAGTCGCTCTTATGCTGTCCAAAGTAGCACGAAATGCACTTGTAGGATGGGAGTCTCACGGATCCAGAATCATCAAAGCATCATTCAAAACAAAGAAGGAGGGGATCTTAATGAATATTATCCAATGTTATGCACCCACCAATGATAGCAACGACGACATTAAAGATCAGTTCTACGAGCGGCTGCAGTCAATCATTGAGAAATGCCAAGAAAGGACCTAACTATTCTGATGGGAGATCTAAATGCCAAAGTCGGAATAGACAACACCGGATATGAAGATATCATGGGACGACATGGACTGGGAGAGAGAAACGAAAATGGAGAAAGATTTGCAAATCTATGTGCATTCAACAAATTGGTCATAGGAGGCACAATATTTCCACACAAGCGTATACACAAGGCTACATGGATCTCACCGGACCACACTACAGAGAACCAAATAGATCATATTTGCATCAACAAAAAATTCCGAAGGACAATGGAAGATGTAAGAACCAGGAGAGGTGCTGACGTAGCTTCAGATCACCACCTAGTTGTAGCCAATTTAAAACTGAAGCTAAAAAAGAACTGGACAAGTGGACAAACAGCACTACAAAGGTTCAATACAGCCTTCCTTCGAGATACTGACAAACTCAATGAATTCAAGATAGCTCTCAACAACAGGTTCCAAGCCTTACAAGATCTACTGAAAGAAGAAGAAACTACTATGGAGGACAACTGGAAAGGCATCAAGGAAGCATTAACTTCAACGTGTCAAGAGGTTCTGGGCCTAAAGAAACACCATCATAAGGAATGGATCTCTATAGAA